CGCCCGATGTTTTGTGTATCTTATACGCCGACCCCTTGCTAGTGTGAGTTTCGTTACCCCAATGTTGTCATCCCAACAGATACCCGATGACATCCCAACCCATTGTTCTTCTGAGAGACTCGTCGAGGATAGTCTATGCTTGAAATTAACATGTTGGATCGCTGAGAAATAATTGAAAATTCTGCCGAACGATTTCTCTTCTGTTACGTTCGGGTTCTCGGGGAAGTTACTGATCGGTGAATCACGAGGTCATTTATTCATGGAAATCGGCGGAATCTTTATCACCAGTAGTCCTACTCAACGTAAGACTAGGTGTACTTCCAACGACGATATAACCGCTAGAAAGAGCAAGTTCATCTCTATCGTGATACCTTTCTTTCATAGCAGTGATAGTTTATAATGTCATCGGAGATTCCCTTCGAACCAGTCAATCGTCCCTATGCTCCCATGTTCGACCTGCCTACCACTAGAGGTTCGATTTCGACTAGTAGCTCGGTCACGGCGTCGTCTTCTGATTTCGGAAGTACAATGGATGGTAGCAGCAATACGAGGCGACTGTGGCAGAGTTCAAGTTTGATGGGAACTTCTCAGAGAGTAATGCTGATTTCTAATATGATCTTCTTGACTCACAAATTATTCATTTTCCATTAAGTAGATGTTGTTAAAACTTGATAAAAAACAATCGTTAGATTGGTACTACACCTCAGTACATGAACACGTGACGTCAACGGTGAGTAGCCTATGAATCGTATAAAAGATCCGGTAGAGATGGTATGGATTGGTATTTTCCCGGTGTGATGCTCCCTTAACAGGTGAGTGACATCGAGAAGTTCCTAGCGGCGGTCTACAACTATTACCGTGGAGGAGGCTTTTATGGTATCTTAGGTTACACCATGTAAGATACGGATTAGGTTGGATATCGTGCCTTTAGTTGGATGTGGTTTTCAGAGGCAACCTCTTGGCCGTCCTTTTCACCATCACTTTTGCATTCACGTTGTGTTTTCTGATAGATTGGAGCTCGCTGTTATCATGTAGTATAAAAGGCAAGGGTCTGGGGGGTTGTTTCTCAATGTCACTAAAATATTTAGTGACTCTTTGGTGGAATGGTTAGGATATTAAGCTTGTAATCGATAGATCGTAGGTACAATTCTTGTGATCGCCGTTTTAAGTCGTCGATTTAACCTTTAACACATTATATATAAAACACTCGAGCACCGCGCAAGTCCCAGCATAGTCTTTGCTGTTTTATGGGAAATTCGCCGTATGCCGTAGAAGTTTGCTATCTGTTTATTGCAGAACCCACAACACCGTATCATCGTTTTTGTCATCCTCCTCAGGTACCAGCCCCGAGACGTGTGTCAACGCCCATCTCTTCAAGAGCAACCCCTTGGCGGGTTTGGGGCTCATCAAATTCGTGCTGCTACTGTAGTAGAAAAGCGGAAAACTGACTTTTCCCGGGTTGGGAGTTTTCGGATCACGATTTCGTCCTCCTAGTGAGCTCAAGAATCTTCCAAAAATTGAAATATTCTCATCATACCTACTTTAGCATAGCGCATGTCATCTCAGCCTGAAAAAATGAGTTTTTGGGTTTTTGAAGATTCGAGAACTTCTCGAAAACTGATAGACATTTTCGACTCATAAGTATTCCCTGTTTACTTCTACTGTAGTATAGCAGATTAGGGTTTTCTTTATTTTTTGGGAAGATTTTTTAGAGCAAAAATCTGAAATTTTTTTCCCGCAATCAGCAGAACTTCGAAAGTTCAGGTCGTTTCTGGGCACTTTGACATTCTGGGGACTAGCGGCAGCAGGAGCGTTCATGACTGTTAAGGAGGCGAGGGATGCAGCGTTCTACTATCAGGACTACTTAGGGGTAATATCTATAGTGTTTAACCCGTTACCCGTGAAACTATGATATTCGCGGTGATATGCAGTAGTCGTGAAATATATTTCTCACTAGTGTTTCTCATATCACGGTCGTGAAAGTAACTCAAGTTTTGGAGAAATATGTGATCGCTTTCATCAGCTGAGCTCAGAAATTTACTCACTTATTGTTTGGCATTTATGTATGACAAATATAAAAAAAATGTATGATGTAATTTTATGTAATTTTAATGTAATGATGTAATGACAAATGTATGACATTTATGTATGTGTTTTACAAAAGTTGGACGAACCAACGGGAATCTCCCCGAAATTCCTCAGAATTTTCATATTTTCACCGAATGGATGTGTGTATATTTTCCCATGATATGTGGACGATTGCCTACTTTATATGCTCTGCTGAGCTCAGCTGATGAGAGCGAACATGTATTCCTCAAAAATCGATCCTCATTTTAGCAGAGGTGTATGAGGGGTCATCGGCAATTCCAACTCGAAAATTGTTGTTGCCTGCTGTACACTTTTATCGGAATTCTTTACTCAGTGAGAAAATTCTGCTGAGCTCAGCTGAAGAGAGCAAACATATATATTCCTCCAATATTACGGTAGATTCCATTGGATTCGGAAACAGTATCGTTTTCGCCGTTGCAAGCCGTTTCGTGGGCTGAAGTAGCTAGAAGACTCGTGAGGTTGCAAAACGGCGCCACGCGAGGAGATGAAACCGTGATGGAAGGCAGACAAATGTGGTGCATGTTACAGGTCGGTAAAAGGGAATATGGAAATTTGGGAAAAAATTTAATTTAACCGGAAAATTTCCCAGAAATTTCCACAAATTTCTCAAAATTGGGGCTTCACTCTAGTGATATGGAAAACACTAGTGAGAAAAATATATTTCACGACTACTGCATATCACCGCTATATTTTTTCACTAGTGTTTTTTCATACCACTAGGGTGAAACTCCATCGTGTAGGAAACATAAATTTCTCTGATACTTTGAAATTTCCTCGGTTTTTTGAAAAGTGGAGGGTATGTGAAATTTTGACAAATTTGTAAATCTGATTTACTTTGGAAACAGTATGTAGCGTATCTTTAGGTTGAGTGATGAAGATACGGAATAGGTCCGAAAGTGGTATTTTTTGTCAGGCTAGGATTTCCATCGTAGAGATGACGAACCTTCTTATGAGAGATTCATCATATGCTCTGCTTCTGCAAGGAGAAGAATCACCGTTGTTGAGCATGGTAAGGATCTCGGCGGTGAAAAAAATTAAAATTCCGCGGAGTTATGGTACGCGAAATAGAAACGGCAGGAGTTGAGGGAGATGTGAACTAAGTTTTGAATATTTTTCGCGAATGGCTCGATTTCAATACTCTTTAGAATCTGGGAGAATATATACTCAGCTACATGTGTTGGTGACAATATGGAAATCGTGGAGAAATTTTTGGAAATTTTCGGAAATTTTTCCTGTCTACCCGAATTTCACAACTAGTGAGGAGACTTCTAAGATCAGCTGAAGAAAGCGAAAATATATTCCTCCAAAGCTGAGTGCACAGTATAGAATTTCTCAACGAGGTTCGCGAGTAGTTTTATATTCTTTCGGAAATTGATAGATTTCTATAAACTCAGATTCCTCCGTGGGTCTCCCTACCTTCTCACTTCGTGGCCTCGAACGCCGTCAATTGGGTTATTAAAACGTTGATAATGCCGTGTTTAATCGATGAGGTAAATATGTGACGATTTTACCCATTTTTGGTAGTATATGTTTGCTCTCCTCAGCTGCCGAGCTCAGCAGAGTTTCATCACTAATTATACAAGTTTACAAAAACCAACAAGAATTATGGAATATTAATAAAAAATTCTTTCCTCGCATTCTATTAGAAAAACCAATTATTTTTTACCAACACCACCACTGCTGTATATCAAATGTAGGAGTAGGAATATATGTTCGCTCTCCTCAGCTGCTGAGCTCAGCAGAGTTTCCTCACTGATTATAGAAGTATATATACAAATTCTGATGGAAATGTTCGATGAGAATTTTCCAAATTTTCCCCAAAAAAATTTTCGTAGTATCACCGACACGTTTTGACTTGCTTTTTTTGTGCAAATTTTCTGAGTGAATCATTGAAATCTTCGCAGTGCGGTATGGTGGTTTCGTAAGATATTTTTAGTTCCGAATAGGATGACTTCCCCCAGTTATTTGTTGGTAAAAAATTTTCAGTTAAAACAGTATAATTCGAAAATTCGATAATCGATCACGTGATCGATTATTCTGTTGTTGGTGAATTTTCATTGTGAATTTTATCTATATATGATCATTCATCATGCCTCGGAATATTTCTCATAATTTTGGTAAAATTTACGATAATTAATACCAATTCAATAGTATTTACAGTGATTTACAAAAAAATTTCCGAAAAAATGTCAATTTTTGCCATTTTTTTCAGCATTCGAAGCAGCTATTTCCCGAGATAACCACAGAGGAGTTCGCGAGAAGGTTGAGGAAGCGCCTCCGACTTTGGGGACTCGTAGCCTTCGTTACGCTGATACCAGTGTTGATGATGAGCTTCTTATTTACCTGGCTAAAGTGAGGAAAATTTTTTTTCCGGGAAAATTTTCGGATTTTTTTCGCTATAATGGTTGGAAATTTGTGAAATCGTTGAGCCCGGATTCTCACATCGCGTATTTTGATTATAAATTCTAGTTGATAGGATGCTTCATCGTTTATAAATAAAAGTGGGTAAAAAATTCCGTATTTTGGTCACCATTTATGATTGCATATTCGAGTTAATAAAATTCTTCATCGTGTTTGTAGATATAAGGGTTGTTAGAATAAGTGGGTGAAAAATTCCGTATTTTCGTCACCGTTTATGATGATATTTTGTAGATATACGGATGATTTTAGAAGCGCCCGAGCTAGTCCTTTGCAAAGGGAGTGGACGAATGTGGCGAAATTTCATACTCGGGAGGTGGGTCGGGAAAATGCGGAAAAATTGGAGTTTTTTTTTTGAAATTTCGGAAGTGGGTGAATTTTTCCGGAGGATTTTTTCACCTAGTGCGAACATCGTGGAGAGTAAAAAAATGTAGAAATTATTTCACAAACAAGTTTTTTACACCTATTTGCATCGGTATGTGCGTGTGATTTTTTCCTCAGTTGAGTTTGCGAATTTCCTCACTAATTATGGAGTTTCGATCGGCGTGTATAAAAAGCAATGAAAATTTCGGGAAATTTTTCCAGATAGTCGTGGATATTTTTGACACTGCTTTAAGATGAAATTCTTATTGGAGTTAAATCACCCGTTTTACGTGAAGTGGCGTAAAACTCCGTGAAAAACGCGATATTTGCGGTGATATGCAATAGTCGTGAAATATGTTTTTCACTAGTGTTTTTCATATCACCAGGGTGAAACTCCATTGTTTTCGTGCCGAAAATTATATCATTTGTGAAGAAAGTGTTGAGCTCAGGTGAGGAAATGGAACATATACTTTTCCAATAGTGCTGACATAGTGCTGATATATTCACGTCGTATAATTCTCACTGCACTTTGTTGTTGTTAGTTTCTAGAGTTACCACATCTTCATCGTTCGCGACTGAACTCAGCGTTGCTACCGAGGGGAGGAGGAAGCGTTACGGAAGCGTTTGTTAATATGAGTTGGGGAACAACACCGATACAAGGAGCTACTAAAAGGTACGCATGCGCTGCCTCTGCTCCGCTGTGATTTTTTTCGTTTTTTTCTCATTATTTTGGTGATTTTTTCACAAGATGATTAAATGTTTGCGGTACGCATGCGCTGCCTTCGCTCCGCTGTGATTTTTGATGAGTATTCTCGTTCATTTTTTGGTGATGTTTTTACGCACTGATTAGTGTTGTTTGTGGTACGCATGCGCTGCCTTCGCTCCGCTGCTATTTTTTGTTTTCCGCATTATCTTGGTGAATTTTTTCACATGCTAATTAGATTTGTTTGCGGCACGCATGCGTTGCCTTCGCTCCGCTATGCTTTTTAATTTAGGTTGATCAAATACGTTTGCGGTAGCATAGCTGCGACCTTGTTCGCGTTGGCGTTGTGGGATGATTCGCCGTTACTACATGTTGTATTTGCTGGGAAGAATCTTCTGTGGTAAGAATCGGGCCTATTTTGAATCTTTGTAGGGGAACCTATTAGGTATCTTGCGGTTTCGGGCACATTAGTATCTTTGGTGAGTCGATCGACTGATGATGGTGAACGTGGGCAAACTGCTGATGGTAAATTATGGTGATCGCAAAAATTTATTTTTCTTTGTTTTTTTTTTGGTCTTTTGTTTTTTTTCGTTTTTTTTTCGCTTTTTCCGTTTTCTTGGCTTTTTTCGTTCATTTTTGTTTTTTGCCATATCCAGTTTATGATGTTGAAAAATCGGAAAAATTGTTAAGTGAACGGAGTTTCACCCGCGATATGAAAAACACTAGCGAAAAACATATTTCACGACTACTGCATATCACCGCAAATATCGCGTTTTTCACTTCACGTAAAACGGGTGAAACGCCACTGTAGTGACAATTTTTCGCACGAGTCGATTTGAATTCTATCACCACCTAGGAAGTATTCTCATATAAAATCGGAGAAAATATTTTCATGTAGTCAACTACATGTGGTGGTGACAATATGAAAATTGTGAGGAAATTTTGGTGAATTTTTCATTGGTTTTTGTATATTCCTATCCGAATTCTGCAATTAGTGAGGAAATCGTGCTGAGCTGAGGAAAACGAACCTCTATCGCTCAAATTTAGATCAGCTACTTGCTCGTATTTGTCAGCCACTTCAGCGTCTGCCCCGTTGAGAGCGACGACGTCGTCGCCTCGAGAATCTTCTACTGGTGGGAAAAGGAGGGAAATCGGGTAAGTCGTAATCGTCTTACGTGGAGTGCAGACGCGATATTCGCGGTGAGATGCAGTAGTCGTGAAATATGTTTTTCATATCGCCCCACTGTGAGGAGATATGCACATGGTCAACTACATGTGTTGATGGGAATGTGAAAATTTCGACCCGTGAAGTGGCGTGATAGTCCTATACGATGCTGAGGAAATATTTTTTGAATTATACCAGAATTGTTGTTGGTTTCTGTACACTTCTATGAGTCGTGATCGAGCTCTGCTGAGGGAAGCGAACATATATTCCTTTAACACTACATTTCGTATGATGACGTTTCTATATGAGTTCGTGTGGTGTCGTATCGCATGTCTCCTGTGGTCTCGATGCGAATTGTGATGATTTTTTGGTGGAAATTTTTATTGGTTTTTGTACGCTTCTACTCGAATTTGTATATAAATAGTGAGGAAACTCTGCTGAGCTCAGCTGAGGAAAGCAAACGTATATTCCTACTCCAACACTGGCGACTATGGTGATGTTTTTGTATTTTTCCAAGTGGTGAAGTAGGGATTACTTCCTATTGTAAACGCCCTGTAGTTTCTATCCGATTCACGTGTTAATTTGTATAATGAAATTTCATCCGTGATGTGAAAAACACTAGTGAAAAACACTAGTGAAAAACACATTTCACGACCACGGCATACCGCGAATATCGCGTTTTTCACCGAGACTTACTCCACTTCGCGTAAAACGGGTGAAACTCCAATAAAACTGAGAATACTGTGCGGAGTTTTCTAACACTGGTTGTTTCATAATTCATCAGTTCAAGTGGTGAAGGAGTAGGGATGATGTCATCTGTATCAGCAACACCGTTGAATGCCTGGGTTGCTACTATGCGACTGTTGCAAACAGTGAGCTCTGTTTTGGTGATTTTTTATCAGAAATTGTCAGCGGTCGTTTCTCGGCAGATACATTATCTACCGCAAATGTCACAGATCGTGCAAGGGGAGGAGTTGAACGAGGTGAGATTTATCAGTGTTGCGGTAAAAAGCGCTCGCCATCTTGATCGATTTGTGAGATGAGTTGATGTCTTTTTGCTCGACAGCGATTTGATGATAATTGCAATTCTGAAAAATGGTGTTTCTCGGTGAAACAAGACGTATGCGCGAAATTATGGTATGACACATTTCTTTTATGTAGAGATATCGATCTCTATTTTACTCCTAGGGCGCGCCACAGTAGAAGTTGTATTTTTGGAGGAAAATATGTTTGCTGTGTTGGGGAGTTTCCTCACTAATTGTAGAAATTTGGGTGGAAAGCAAGTGTTAGGATTAGATAAGTCAACAAGAGTTATTAACAAGTAGTTTTTAACGTTTGATCAGTACAGTAATCAATAAGTATATGCTGAGCTAGCAAGGGAGACAAGTATCACAAGAATATAAAATTACAGGAGACACCTGTGTACAGCATTTCCTCACACCAAGGAAAATTTGCAAAAATTTCCTCGGAATTTTTATATGGACACCATTGTTCACTTTTACTTGTTTTTATTCAGTCCAACTCGGCGTGCCGATTTGATTTCTTGTATAATTTCGAGCGATGCAAGGCGAGTTTCCTGTCGGTGTTCTACGTGGATCGGATTCGAATAATACTTTTTGAATTGTGAGGAAATTTTTTCTTTTCTTGTTTTCACTGGTATTGCAGGTACAGTATTATATTGTGTCCATTCCTGCTTAGTATATGGTTGCCTGGATCAGTGGAGACTTTGGTGAGAAATCGATCATCAGGGCGAGCGCGAAATGTAAATGGTTAGGTTCGATTTGTGGTTGAGAACTCTTATGAGCATCCGAGTTTTGGTCATTGGTGTGTTTATGGATCACTTGATGAGAGTAAGTTGTCCGTGGAGTGGTATGAGTCTCGAATTATAAAATGTTTTGCACTGGAGTTTCACCACATATTTCACAGCCCACTTCGCGAAAACGCTTGTGAGCAGTGAATAACGCGTATAACACGTGATTTGTTTGACGTGATATGGGATGATTTCTTCAGTGTTATGCGCGAATTGTTTTCAATTCCCTTCTTATCACGAATATCGCATTTTACACATGGAGTATTACGCCACTAGGCCTTCGTGAAGAAGAGGCGGAGCTCACTGAGTCCCCGTCCAAGGACTCGATCAATGAATTTTACATAGGTCCCCGGTTCGATCCCCGGGTAGGACATTTCTCCGTCATTAAAGTTTTTTATGCATTTAGCTGTTTTCGAGTTTTCCGAGTTTT